CTTAAGAAATCACAGAATTTAGGACCACCTCTCTTCACAGATGGGGATCTAAATCCCCTGAAAGGTGAAAACACACTGCCCAGAGTGGTTTCTGATCTGGGTAGGTTTGGGGAACAACAGGCTTGTCTGTTTACACCATGATTATTCAGGCTTAGCTTTCTCCTAGAGAAAGACTGGCTTTTAAATTGAACAATGAGTAGGTTTTCCCTTAATATGTCTTCCCTTCTACTGGGATATAGACAATCACTTTAAAAAAGATTTATAGTCCCCAGCCCCTAGTCCCAGATATTATATATGAGAGAATAATTGAGAATTTGGCACAGGGCATTTTTTTTAAGTATAAAATTTGAATATCATCCTCCTTAACTGGAAAAGTTGGCCTACCAATATTAGGATATAACTACTATGTCAATGTGTTAGGGAGATCTTTTACTTCACATGCATATTTGTTCTGACATTTTAACTATATTTTGTGTGCTTCTGAGGACTAAGCTACTTTTTTTATTTGTGAACCATCTTTCTCATTGAAGCAGTTTGAAGGGGCTAATGCAGGGAATGCCTTAATGGGGGCTTTTTACCCTAATTTTAGCAATGTGGGTGGCTCCTGGCATCTATGACATAAATTTATGAGGTCAAAAAGGGTATTTACCAACCTCTGGAAACAGTGATCTTGGTAAATATTTTTTGAATTATGATACAGACAGACATAGAAAGCCATTCAGAATTTGGTTTTTATGTCTTTTTTCCTGAAAGTAAAATTATTCTCACTGTGAAACAGAGGACATTGAACCAAAGCTTCTTCATGAATACATTTTACTTGCTTTGTAGAACCAATCCATTCACTAAGGTGGTACTGAATACATTTTAAAAGCTCTAGGAGGCCCTAGATAAGGTAGGACTCAGAACTATTCCTTTCTCAAGCCAACAACTCTTTCCAAAGGACACAGAACATTAGGAAATCTAGATTGGGACATTGTAAAAACTGTCCCTAGCACTTACATTTACTTGGCATCTATCACCAAAGACTTACATTTAAGACACCCCTTTACTGGTTTGATTGATTTCTATGGAAGCTTTAGGTTTGCACTCTGGTCCTATGTATTAGGGATGTTCCATGTATGAGCATGCATACAAGTTGAAAAGTATTCTGTTTACTTATGAAGATGAAGAAAAAGGCACCACTAATGAAAGTGAAGTATAAATCTTGGTGAGGACCAGGTACTCCCTTGTTAAATTTTAAGTATTTTTAGTCCTGAGTCTTATTGTAAGTAGCTGGATTGTCATCCATGGTGCTGGTTTAGAAACTGTAGGACAAAAAAGAAATCAGTTTTTGCAAAACCAAAAAGAAATGTCACTTTCCTGCCACTATAATTTTCTTCCTAGACTTTATTCACTCTAAATATTTTACTAGTAAATTTTAATGACATCCTTGTGTGAGAATGTGCATCTTTAGGAAATTTGAATTTATCCAAATAAGGTACCTAATGGATTTGGAATTTTGGTGTAGAGTTCTAAACTCAAAGCTCAGTCCAAATGGATGTGGTTTTAAGCCCACTCTCTTAGGGCGTTTTTCCTTAGTACTTGTCTCAGACCAAGTACTGTTTCTGGAAGCAGCCTTAGTGGTGAGGTATAGAAGATAGTCGTAGTGCACTTTTTAAAAAGTGCATATTGATTATCTTGGCTACAATGTTTAAGAAGTCAGATTTTTACAAGAGCAGCAGTAGAGGGTTGAGGGGATGAGAAGTAGGCCTAAAACTCTCTCCCCTTATGCTTTTTCTGACTGCTCTGTCCTGGTGCAATGGCCTATCACAAAAGAATGTTGTAAAAGAGAAACAAGCCCCAGCCTTGCTGGGCAAATCTTCAACACCAGCAGTAAAGCTTAGACCTGAGCCATGGGGTTAAAAGAGGATGCTAACTAGTAAAATGGTGCCACCATTGCTGATGGGATGGGGGTGCCTGTTCTCAGGATGTGTGAATATTCAGGCCTATAGGCTTCTGCATGGTTTGTTCTAACTGCTTGCCTAGCTTGGCAGAATGAAGGTGGCCAGATAGTGTTGAAAGGATGCTTTGGGGGCAAATCAAGTCATAAAGCATATGATTGAGGGAGATTACAAAGTACAAAATTAAAGCTGTGTGGTCACTTAACTCCTTTGCAAGGATCCTGGTGAAAGTTAGTTTGAATGAATATTTCTCTTGAGATTTTAAGTGCTCATTTCTTTTCCTCTCCCCTGCTCCCCTTCTTCCTTTTTTCAAGTATTTCTAAAGACAATCAGAGACCTGTCAGAGAGGGACTCCCGGCTGGTTACAGCACTGTCCTTAGGCCTCTTTCTAATTCTAACTCAATGGAACTGATGCACTTTGTTTAATGTATCTTGCCTTTTTTTTTTTTTTTTTAAGCTGCTTGTTTGGAACAAACTTAAGTACTTATTGCTTTCTGTTTCTCCTCTTAATTTCAAAAGTTATGCATTGAAGATAAAGAACACTTAAGGGGAAATATGCATCAGGAAACCTATTAAACTCCCATCCAGTTTGATGGTATACTTCAAAATATTTTTAAAGTATTTTGGATGAATATTTATGTTTTTCTTTTTGGTAAATAAGTTTGTATAAACTTGTGGCATATTATGACAGTTTTAAATGGTTTGAGAAAATTAAAGGAAATAGGTCTTAAGCTTTGTTTAACTTTTAATTTCATTTGTACTGATTCGACAGTAAGGAGGACATTTTGACAAGAGTCCATCCATCAAAACTCTTTCCAGTGGGGCCTCAGAATCAATTCTGAGAGGTGGAGAAAATTCCTTCCTACCTTAATAAAATTCCAGAATTCTCCCCCTTCTGGCTGTCTTGTCCTTTCACCTCCATATTTATATGCTTTTTAAAATTTCAGCTCAGGAAAGGTAGGAAGACAAGAATTCCCCACAGTGGCCTTGCTTCTAGCACTGGGGATTCTGCTCCTGATCCCTAAAATGAGTTCTTATTCTCTTGGGGCATTAAGGATTTGTCCACATTTGAATGTGTAGAACAGTGCTGTGTCCAAACTTCAGTTTTCAGCCTTATGTGCAATTTTTCTTGAGCTGTCTGTGTGTTCAGGAAACTAAGTCTCCTTATGCCAGTCACACTCTCCTTGGCTTTAAGACACATCCTCTTGTTCAGTTCCCTCTGAACTAGTACTGTTAATCGTTGTGCGTCCTCATAAGATCCCTCTTGGACTTAAGGCAGTGATGCAATTTTAATTTTCCCGTATCCATTTATTTTCTTAACCAGATTTTCTGTATTTGCTTATGGTCAATATTTGTGGAGAATTTTTATAAATTAAAACTCAGTTTAAATTTAAAAAAATTTTGTTGCATGTTCTATGTCAGACACTGTGTTGGATTCACGAGTGAATAAAAACCAGTTCCTGTCTTCAGGAGGCCAACACTCAGCTGCAGGAGAAAGATGTATTTATAGCCATGTAATTAAGCTGCCTTAAATTCTAGTGAAACAGTACACTCAAAGAAATGTGGGAGTACAGTGGGGGAGGTCAGGTGGGCCTTGAAGCATGAACAACAGTTCATGGAGGAGGAAAAAGGGAACAGCATCTATGCAGCTAGAATGCTGCACAAAAGCACAGAGATGTGAAAGTGTATTGTAAGAAAAGTGTGGAGAATTGCATTTTTGCTATATGGATAATCAGGTTAATATTCCAGTTAATGAAGAAAGCATTTGGATAGATTTAACCCGGGAATGTAATTGGGGTTTCTTGGGAGCTAAATTATAGGGAAATTTTTCCCTAGAGATAGAATATACTGTTTTCAAATGTAGCCCACTGCCAACTGGACTCATATAACACATACACTGTCACTATGCAGCAGAAAAGTCAGGGCTCTTGAAGCACCATTTCTCCGAAGAGGTGAAAATCTGAGAAACTGGAGAGGACTAAGGACCCTAGTAGAGGTAGAGATTGTGTGTGTGTGTGTGTGTGTGTGTGTGTGTGTGGATTTTTTTTTCTTTTTTTGTGCTAGTGGGGATTGAATTTAGGCCCTCCCATAAAATACGCAAGCGCTCCTCTACCAGTGGGCTACACCCCAACCCTGTTTATTTTGTGGCAGGGTCTTGCTGAGGTTGCTCTTAAACTTGTGATGCTCCTGCCTCAGCCTCCCCAGTAGCAATTACAGGTATGAGCCAAGAAGCCTGGTTTGGCCGCCTTTTATGAATCACATTCAATATGACCTTCAATGTAAGCAAAGTGGGAATATTATGCACACAGCTTTCAGTCTAAACCTGGTATATTTCTACACGAAAGTGCTTGGATTAAAATGACCATTTAAATTATGTTTATGGGGAGCCAGGTGCAGAGGAGGGCTCTCCGGAGGCTGAGGCACAGGTGGATGGCTTAAACCTGGGCAATACAGCAAGATCCCCGTCTCAAGAAAAGAAAAAAAAAATATTTATGGGGGGGGGGGAAATAAACTCGGGGTTGTGATTAATCAAATTCCCTGGTGTTTTGACCAGGGAAGTAGAGGAAAGACGCCCGATATCTGACTTGGAAGGAAGAAGCTCCTGTGATGTCCCAAGATTTTTCCTCAACCACGTTCAGAATAATCCAGGCTGCTTCAACGAAATCCAGCGGCAGATTATTGAGCCCCCACCCGTAAAGTACTGAGACGGAATTTGCGAGGATGGAATCCACAAATTTATTTTTAATAAATTCTCCAGGACATAAGAGATTTATGACGGAGGGAAAAAGAATTTAATCACAGACTGGCCTTGCTACTGCCCTGCTTACCTGAAGCTCAGAGTCCCTGAGTCTCACTCCGGTCTGCGCTGCGACGCTCACCTGGTCGGTCTACCTGCGGGTGGAGACCCACCGGCCCGCCCTTCGCCCGGGCCGGAGCCCCGCCCCTCGGGGGAGAGCAGAATCGCCGGGGCCCACCCCTACGCCAGGCCAGGCCAATCAGGCGCTGCGATCTCAGACGTCGGGTTACGCGCGGCGCCGAGTTGGCCGCCGGCGGAGGAACCGGCTCCCGGCTCGGGCTCCGGCCTCCGGCCTCCGGGCTCGGCGGTGCGGTCCCCGCAGCAGCGAGGCTGGGCGGGCCGGCGCCCCACGCCCTCCCGCCAGGCCGCCATGCAGGGCCCCGCCGGGAACGCGAGCAGCGGACTGCCGGGCGGGCCGTCCTCCACTGCCGCGTCCGGGGCGGGCCGCTGTGAGAGCGGCGCGCTCATGCACAGTTTCGGCATCTTCCTGCAGGGGCTGCTCGGCGTCGTGGCCTTCAGCACATTAATGCGTGAGTCCGGGACCTTAGCCCCTCCTCAGTGCCACAAACCCCCGGCCCAGCGCGGCCGCGAGGACCCTCCTGCCTGAAGAGTTAAGGCCTGGGGACCAGGGCCCTGTGGTAGAGGTTCCTTTCTCCCCCAGTCCAAGCTGGGCATTCCCAGACGAAGGCGAACCCGGGTCCCTGACCACACGATCCCGAGCCCTTGTCGCTGCAGCCTCTTAAGAGTGACCCTGCCCCTCTCCACCTTACTACACGTCTCTTTTTCTGAGATGCCAACCTAAAACTCGCCCCGCTCCCACCATGTCATCGCAAATTAAGGTTACCCCACTTTCCATCCCGGAGTCATGACCTCTTCTGGGTGGCACCTCTGCCTGCTCTCAAGAACCCTTCTTAGCCTATCCTCCACGCTCTAAGTCCACATCCCTAAATCCCTAGTTTGATGCTGAGCTCTCTTTGGCACCTTCTTCGCTCTTAAAAGATTTGCTATCTGTTGGTGTTTGAATCCTGCTACCTTGCATCCTTTGCGGTAGATGGAATATTTTCCCAGGACCACCCCCTTCTCCCCGCCCTCTGGTCCTTCTCCCTCAGCATTATTTTCCCTTGCCGCCTTCTCCCACATCTCCTTCCTCTCCTTTTCTTCCCCAAACAGGTCACCTGTTCCATCTCTGTCCCAAGCTTTCCTAACGAAGCCGCATATGAAGCTTACCCTGGCTATTCCCTTCCCAACCCATTTTTATTATTTATATTTTAAGTATTCATAAATACTCAGGCAATCTAATGGCTTGACGGAGAAATAGGCTAAGAGGGTCTGTGGAGGTCTCAGAATCCCTGAGTTAAGTCACCAGGGTCACTTCCTTGGGAGTTTTGTAATGAAGAAGGAAGTCCCAGATGGCCCTGATAGTCCTGTGGGTTATGAGATGAGAGGGTGAGGATCATGTGGACTACCGCGAGGCGGGTGTGTTGATTTTTTAATACATATTTTAACAATAAGGATAACAAGAACCTGTATGTGGCACATAGGTCTAGAAATGCCCCTTTAACGTGTTTTGGAGGAAGGAAAGATTATAACTTAACTGTTCAGAGGCATTAATTCAAAAATGACTTGTTCTCAAAACTTCCCCACTGTGCTTGTGTGGGCAGAACCAGAAGTTCCAGTAGAGTATGTGCTCCTCAGCTGGTTCCTGGGGTGGTCTCATCCAGAGGTCTTTTAGGGTCCCCTTGCTGAAGGGCCACCTTGCTTGTTAAGATAGAGAGATTTCTTTGGGTGAATTCTTCCAAGTTTCAGGTGACCCTGGAGAGTGTCTGATCTTGGACACTGTTTTCCTCTGGTTGCCTGGCCTTGACAAGTCCTGCAACAAGTGCCCAACTGTCTTTGTTTGCCATTTTTTCTTCTGTTCTTAGGTCCTGCTTGCCTTCCTTTTTTTTTCTGCTGAACAAATACTCACTTGTTTCCACAATAATAATTTGTGACAACTTAGCCAAAATCAGTTGCTGTACTATATGTGTATGTTTTTAAGACATTCTGAGTGGGGTTTCACTCTCCTCCCACTTTTCTCTCCTCCCTCCAGCCTGCCTTTCTCTCTCAGGAACTGTAAGTTTAATTTTATTGTTTTTGTGGTTTTGGGAATCAAACCCAGGGTCTCAGGCATGCTGTATCACTGAGCTATATCTCCAGCTCTGGTTTAATTTTTATTTTGTTCCCTAACCTGAGATTTCATAGCCTACTTCTGGCCCTTTTCATGGTTTTTATTGAGGTTGATGGCCTGCTTTATCCCCTAGGGTTTGGCACTTGTGATTCAGAAAGGAAAATGTGATTATGACAGGGCAGAGTTCCTCACAGCTGAGAAGTGTGCCATAGTGGTGATGCTGGCCCTGAGAGTCTTCAGGGACACTCTCTTTACTTAATCTTCATTGTGAGCACATGTGCAAATCCCACTGTGGTTGTTTTTTTTTTTTTTTTTTTCTCTGTGAAAAGACTGGATGAGAAAGTAGTCTCTCGCTCAGTGGAAGGCTTGATGTGAAAGGGGGTTTGTGGAAATGGCAGATAGTCCTGGAATGATGTCGGTAGTAGTAATGGGGAGTAGAATTGGAAAGGCCAAAGCTGGATCTGTTCTGAACACAGAAATAGAGATGAGAGTAAGATCCTCATCACCTTTCATAGAAGTAGACAAAACAGACCAAGGTGATAGGACTGTGAAGTTAAGGAGAAGACCCACTGGCTGGGACCCAGTCAGGTAAGTGCCTTTCTTATGGCTCAAATTCCTTGGTTCTGTTGAAATAGAACTGTGGGGCTTTTCCTTTTTGAACTGCTGGAAAGAAGAGGAAATCCCTAAGAGGCTACCTTTTTAAATTTTGGAATAGACTTCACAGGAGAAGAAGAAAGGGGAGTAAGGTACTCTCAAGGAAATGCATCTGCCAGCTGTTGGGCTCTGTTGTCCTAGTTACAGAGTTGCTGGAGGTGGAGGACCAGGCTCCCAGATGAGAGGTTCCACATGGCAGTCCTTGAGGGAGGGAGGGCATTTGTTATGATGAGGCTGCTTCATCACCATCTTCTTCAAGCAGTGTGTTCTGAGCAATTTGAATTAACAGTCCCCATCTTCTTTGAGGTCAGTCTTTCCCTTTCCTGGTATTTGCATGCCCTTCGGCAGCAGACTTAATGCTTCTCTTAGGTACTTCCTCAGTGCTCACTGCAGAAACTGTTCAGTTTTCCTGCTAGATGAGCATATTCTGTAGCATGATGGACCCACTTCTGTGCCAGACAAACTGAGGTAATTTTCCAACTTCACCTCCATGATTTCAGTGAATCATCAGAATAATGTGTTTATGCTCTTTTTTTTTTTTTTTTTTAACTCAAAAATTACTTTTTTCTCTGCTTATCAGTTGCTCTGTTTTTGTCCTAGAATAAGATGTCTCACATCTCTTGATGTCCCTGGGGAGGATTTTGGTTCTCACAAGGATTACTCACCATGGCACTCTGATGGACTTCTTGTTTTATGTGTGGTGTTTTACAGATTCTTGGTCCAGGCAGTTGAGAGTGTGTATGCCAGGTCCTGTATCTAACCTGTTCTTCAAGCTACTTGAACATCCAGACTATTGCAGGCCACCATCTACCATCATGTCCTAGTGTCAGCATCACCTTTTTAATTAAGTTGGTGGGTTTTCCAGAGGCTCCAGCTAAAGAAAGCCAAGGAAACTCAGAAGCCAGCTTATAGAGGTACTCCTACTATGAGTTTTCTGGGCTCCCATCAAAATGACTGGTTGCAAGGAAAGAAGCACTTTAACCATGAGGGTTTGGTCATGATTTGCCTGTTGAGCAGCACCTCATGTTCTGGTGACTTTGTCTGTAGCCTCTGACTCAAGTCATTCAGACCAGAGTCGCAGCGGAACAGAGCTGAACAATCCTGGAGCTCAGGAAACTTAGTGCAGGATAGTCACCCAGCTGTCAGCCAAAGGTCAGCATTGGCCAATGTGTGTGTTGGCATTTGGGGGTGTTTATTCTCAGGACTGTGAGCGCAAAGCAAACTCAGGCTTGCTTTGCTATGCAGAGTCAGGACTGAAGTGTAGACAGAAATGACTTTTAACAAAATAAGTGTTTTGAGAACTTGGATAAATCTGCCTGCCTATTTTGTGTCACAGATATGGGGACTGGCAGGGAGAAATATATCTAAGTTATACTGAGCAGTATTAGCATTGAGAAGTGACAGCTTCCTTCTTGTGGCCCAAAGTAAAATCACAAACCAGTCCACCCAGCTTTGATAGCTTAAGCTCAAGAGTGTCCAGAGTTTCCTCTCATGCTGAGCTGACTTCCCTATGTGCTCTGTGAACACATAGCCCATGTTGGCACAGTCTTTTCTACCCTCACCACTATACACCCCATTTCAGTTTTTATCTTAAAACGTGTCAAACACTTAGATCTAAGTTAAGAATTAATGCATAGAATGCCTGTTTATTTGCCCTCTACTATTTGCGCTCGCTCTCTCTCTCTCTGTCTTTTTTAACTGAGCAATTAATTTGAAGGAAAGTTGCAGGAAATTTGTGCGCTCTCTCTCTCTCTCTCTCTCTCTCTCTCTCTTTTTTAACTGAGCAATTAATTTGAAGGAAAGTTGCAGTCAGTACCACAACTTTATTCCTAAATACTTTAGCTAAGTTTCTTAAGAATTAGGATAATCTCCTACATGACCACCTATAAGAATTATTATTTAATAACTCCATAATATCATCTGATATCCATTGAATATTTACATTTCCCCCAAATGTCACGAATCTTTCATAAGTGGAGTTTTTAAAAGCAGGTCTAGAAGCTGCATACATTTTATTTGGTACTTTTTTTTTTTTTTTTTTGGTACCAGGGATTGAACTCAGTGGCCCTTGACCACTGAGCCGCATTCCCAGGCCTGTTTTGTTTTATTTATTTAGAGACAGGGTCTCACTGAGTTGCTTAGCACCTGGGATTATAGATATGTGCCACCGCTCTGGGTTTGGTTCTGTTTTTTTTTTTTTTTTAGTTGCTCAAGACAAACAGTGATCTTGACATATCATACATTTGATTCAAATAGGGTATGAATTCTCATTTTTCCACGTGTACAGATTGCAGGATCACATTAGTTATAAAGCCATGTATATATATACAGCAATACTAGTGTCAGTTGTATTCTGTTTTTAAATCACTTTTACTTCTCGAAGAATCTCCTCCTACACTTGTACACATTCCCCTGCCCAGCCGCCCCTCCCCCCCCTTGGTGCTGGGGATCAAACCCAGGGCCTCACACCTATTAGTCAAGCGCCCTGCCCTGGGGCTATACCTCCAGCTTCCCACTCACACTTGTGTTTTGTTTTTAAGGACTTTGACTTTTGAAAGAGTCTAAGCTGGTGGTTGAATAGAATGTTCCACATTCTAGAATTGTCTGGAAGTTTTCCTTATTGTGGTGTTTGAGTTGTTCCTCTGATCCCTGTGTTTTCCTTAGTTTGGTCTAGAGGAGCAGTTTTATGGCAAGAACACTCCATAATCA